ACAGGTACAACTTGGACAAGTTTGTCCTGCTGCTGTGGGCTTGCCGCAACCAACAGCAAGATTGGAAAATGCCTGTTAATTAGTGGTGAGAACAAAATATTTATGAAGCAAGGCGTATTTATACATGGTTCCATGTTGCTAAGCACAGTTTAAGGAGAATAAATAAATCAGCTAATGGAGGCACATGAATTTAATCTTGCATGGTCATAATTTTTACAAGACGAAATGCCTTTTTTAACAGCACACTATCACAGTGCCTCTACAAACATGGTGCAGCTTGCTACAGTGCAAGTTGAGCCTCATTGGTGGCCTGAATGTCCCAGACCCAATTTCCCCCTAGTTTAAGTTTCTTAGCTTATGAGTGGACAAGTGTGTTTCTTAGATTTTCTTGCAAGTGCGTTGTGTCTTTCCCGCTTCCCATCCCACCCTGTCTTTTTTAGAGTTATTGATTTCTTGGTGACCCCCAAAGGCATGCAGGCACATTTCCTAGCTAGGGGACAAGCATGCTGGCAGCAGATCAGCTCCTCGGAGAAGAAGGAGCAAGGACTGACTGCATTTACTGGTTACAGGGATAAAAACCACTTCCCTTTGAAACACCACATCACATTTTCAGGGTGTGATGCTTATGTTAGGTGAAGAGGGTGCAGTATTTGGGTTTTTATTCCACAAATGCTTGTTTATATACAATATGCAGTAATCAGCAAGGTCCTGCTTAGGCTTGGTGGCCCAGTAGTGAGACATGCTGCCTTCATGTGCCTGGCAGCATACCTCCACCAAATAAGGCAGTTTTCAAGCAAAACATGTAGGTCCCAGCAGTCTCACAGCTGTATCAGGGTCCAGTTTTGGTGTGCCACCTGATGTATTCATTCCTTTTAGCTGCACTTCAAACGTATTGGGACCTTTTTCTTTTTGGGGGAAAGAAAGACAGAGACTGTCGCCAAACCAAGCAAACCTTGAGTGCATTTCTTTGTTTAGGCCTCAGCTTCCTTGTAATTAAATGACTCATAAAATTGCTCACATACAGTTCTGCAAACAAACACAAGAATGTGTTATATTAATAGTCTTGTTGTTTTTTGGTGTTTGTTTTGGTTTTTATTTTTGTGGGGTTCTTTTTTTGTTGTTTTATATAGCTGGCATGGAAAAAGCTGTGGGAGCTTTGGAAACAAACTGTGAGCTCTGTACTTGTGTAGTGTGAGTTCTGGTTTGCATTAACTTGGTACAATGTGACACTGGAGGGTGAATTTCTGAGACATGATTCAATCTGTACTTTTTCCTGTAATCTAAATTGTGTAGGACTCCAGCACTGACAAGAATCACTACTTGTCCTGCCTATTCCTTATAAGTAAAAACCACAAAAAGATGAGGAATGCTGTGCTCACTCCCTATGGCAGCTACAGAGTGGAATGAAAAAGGAAGTCATGGCTGATTGAAGAGCTTAAAAATAGTGCCTCATTACTGTATGCCCCTGGCAAAGCAGTAAGAACAGTGGATATAACATTTTAAAATAGCCAGAGATGCATATATTGATGACAGAGTCAACAACATATTTACAAAAGGGGAAAAAGAAAAAAGGGTTTATGCTCTAGTTCCTCAGAAGCCTGCAAAAAATGAGGTGGCTCCTCAGTGCAAGGTGTGTGTGTGTGTGGGTCCTGTTACACCAATGTAATCTGACAGTAAATATCTGTACCATTTTTTATTTTCTGTCTTAAAGGGGTCTATGTTGTCTAAAAAAACCAGACATGCTGGGAGAAGGAGACTGGGAGCCTTCCTCTTGGAGGTGACTGAACTTTATAGTGCATTGCTTCTCTGCATTGTTCTTTGCCTGTCAGAGAGAGCACGAGGGCAGTTTGCTGGTGCTCCTGTTGTAACTTAAGCGTGTGTTTGCACACTAGTCAGGAGAATGAGGCCCATGGAAGCTGCTAGAACAGCATCACCCTACTTTGAGGGATTTACTGGCAACAGTGGAAATCTTTCTGAAACAAAATGACATTGATAATCTAGGTGTTTGTACCCAAGAATGGCTAAGATGTGTCATTACTAGGGAAAAATAAGGAAGGATTGGTGCTAAATATGTGTATTTTGGGAAAAGAAATATCTAACCAAATTAAAGAGTCAATTTATAACTGCTCCAAAGTAGAGAGGAAAAAATACCCCTAAGTGCTGCTCTTTGACAAGCTCAGTCAATTTGCTTCTCTTGTGCATCTCTTGATGCATCCTTGCTCCCCACAGACATTCTCTTCCATCTATCATCTATCTTTCAGCTATCTTCTAGAAATATCACTGATAACCAGTGTTAGCAATTCTTTGCCAGCTGGCCACTGCTTCAGGTTACTGGAGGTGGGACTTGATGCACCAGTCAGACTGAAATCATTTAACAATGCTGATGAAATCTGTACATAAATTAGAACAAGACATGAAGATACAGCTACAGTGGTTGTGAACTAAAAACTGAGGACAGGGCACTATTGAACTCAGGTAGCAAAGAATGACAATAAGCTGCATGCACATATACGTGCATATGTGTGTAATGTTTTCAAAGAAAAGCTGTGCAAAAGGCAGCTATACAAGTTTTCTGCTACCTGTCCTGCTGTTTGGTCATGAAATTACATTCTTGGTACTCTTGTTGTTGCTGAAACTGGCACAATTGCACTTTATCAAAGCAGGAAGGAGAAAGAACAGATGTTGATGTCAGTGCAGCCACTGACTGGTGGCAATGTAACAGGACAGTGTCATCGAACTGTTCTTCGCAATTTTTTTCCTTTTTTTTTTTGTTTTGTTTTGTTTGTTTGTTGTATGTTGCATTTCTAACATGACAGAGGCACAAGATGCCTGGCCCTTAACTTACCAAACCACTGTCACGTTGAGCGTGATAGGTGGGCAGCTGTAGCTGCGGGTGCATGGCTGTGGGACTCCTCCACAAGCAGTTTGACACAAGTTAAGCAAGGCCTGGACCTAATGGTTTCTTACCCTGACAATTGAAGGCATTTGAGATGGTGGACAGATGAGGAGAGTTAAGGATCTCTGTGCATTTATATTGGACTGGCCACTCAGGTGCTATTTGCATTCAAAGTCACGAATTTTCATGGACAGCAATTAATGCTTTCCCCAGCTGCCTCTTGTTTCCTCTCTTCTTTGGTTATCAAGAAATGTGAACATCTCCACTGCCTCAGGGAAGCAGTGATCAGACTTTGTGCAGCATTAGTTATATGCCAAGGAACCCAGTGGGACTTCGTCTCAACTAACACATATATGACAGAAAAGAAAAAGTACCTGTTTGGAGATAGATGCATACTGCTAGCCTTGCTTCAGAGAACTCTGAGGAGTTGGAGGACTGTCGACCTCAGCTGAATTTGTGTTACATCACTCTGACTGTTGTTTCACAGTAATCCATTGTGTAATACAATTCTGAACGAAGATGGTAATTCCATAGGCTTGTCTCATTTTTCCATCACTATTAACAGGGGACAATATACACTTTGCCTCTCTGATATTTGTTTCATGCTCCACCCTCCTTCCTCCCCCCCTTTTCCAGCTGTAAGCCTTTGCAGGTTACCTGGTGGCCCCAGTAAAGGTACAGTTACAGCAGGAGGCATTTGGCTGTTGAGTCTTTCCGGTCAGCCCTACAATCCCTTCTTACTACCCCTGGGACAGTGACCCATCCCTGCAGGGAGAACTGGGCCCCAGTGTGGCTGTGCCACTGTCTCCCACTGCACCATGGTGACACACTCCTGGGGAATGGTGGTACTGAGTCTTGAAGTGCCTCTTTTCCATCTGAGTCTGGGATTGCTTTAGGTCTGCTGCTGTGTTTTTTTGCTGTCAATAAATCAGATGGTGTATTTTTTCTCCTTTTTTTTTCTTCTTCTGCATGACTTGCATTCTTTCTGTTCTCGCTAAACTTAGAGCTCGTGATCAAAATTGCTGGCTTAATGTTTTTCTGTATTATTCAACCCAGATGCCACTCTCACTCCCTTCTGTGCCCGTGTGGGACATAGTCTGCATCTTTGTGTGTGCAGTCTCTTGCTCTGGTATCACTTAAAAGACACGTAGACTCTCAGAAGTCTTCTGTTTTCCTTGAGTGTTATCACCTGCTCCTTCTTCTCCACCAGCATCTTACTACACGCTGCAGTTTTCTAACCCTTAACTCTATCATGATAATTACTTGTGGGCCTACACCACCAAGTGGCATTTCTGATACAAGCCAACCTAAAAATAAAGACAACTAAATCCAGACAGCCCGTAGACGACAGCCCCTTCATATCAGTTGATGGTGCAGTCCCACAAATGTGAAGGTGCAAAAATAAGGACAGATTTGCTACCCAGGAAAACAACCACAGCAGAGCAGTGTAAGCCAGTCACTGGCTGATGCACCTCTAAGGTATGCAGCTGCTTGAAGAGTTGTCAACCTTTCTGCCTTTGTTGTTAATTATTCAAATTCACATTCAGACCCATCCAGCCTCTGCTTTCCTGAGAACTTGGGCATGCAGCAAAAGCTAAATGAAAGACTAAGGTATCACTGTTTTTATATTTCAGAACGCCTAGAACAGTTGTGTGTGCCTATGAGGGAAGCTCCATGGTTGTATAATATGACTTAAATCCTGCACAGCTGACGCCTGTAAGGCACAAGTTCTTGGTTATCTGATACACTGCACTGACTCCTGACACCTCTAACCTTCCAGATCCAGCACTGTATTGTGGTAAAACACCATCTTGAAAAGAGTTAGTTGTAGTAACAACATGCATATTTTGGGAGTTTCCTACTAGTTCTGTCTTCAGCCCAGACTTCACTGGGTTTCTCTGTCCTGTCACATACCTTTCAGTGTCAACAGGAAAATCTCAGTCTTCCACAACAGTCACAACTAACTCAGTGCATATACACACTCTGCACAGCACCAGCATTTTCTAGAAAGCACACAAATATTAAAGGATTCCTTTAAAAAACAACATAATTTGTAAAAATGTCTTTAATTTAAATTTTAAAACCTAATCCATTTATTTCACAATTCTTTATATTCTCAGTGTAAACTTTTATTATGTAACAATGAAGTTAGGAATAATCAAGTAACACTGGAAAGTGATGTTGACATTCACTCAGAAGAGAGGACATGAAATAATCCTCCAATTTTGTTGTATCAGACATTGTTTTTAAAGACAGTGAGAGATACAGAGAGATATATCTCTCACTCAGGGAAATTGAGTACTGTCACTTGCTGGTTAATAGAGATTTGTGCGATCTGTGCAATTTTTTATAACTAATATCCCCATAAATGTACTAATTGCACATGTAGAAATAGCAATTTCTCTGCAACACAACTAAAGTGACGAAATACCCATGTGTAACTATGGCTAACTTCTACTCCAGCTGGTCTTGTACAAAATGTTTCTTAAAAACAAAACAAAAAATAAATCATCTTCAGTATAAATCACATTTGGTCACGTTTGAAACATGATCTATTACTCTCAATCTTTTTCAGTAGTATGTGGTTTCTGAAGTATCTTGCACTGGACACTCAAGACTGAACTACCAAAAGTAACCAGGTATTATTTAACAAACAGATCACAACCTTAGTAAAAAGAAAAAATTCAGTAAATCCTACATTTGTTTGTAGTCCTATCTGTTTCTAAAATTATTTCACACTTTCTCAGTTTTTCACACAATTTCTTTTCTAGAGAAAAAAATATCACTCCATCTCTAAGAATATCCTGTTCACATGAAAATGAAAGACATATACTCTAACCAGACGTATGCAATAAATATATCTAACTCTAAATCTTATCCTTTATATTCTTCTAAAATCTCTTTATCTAACAGATGTAACGTTACGTAGACTCCTGAGATATGTGTAAATGACAATAGAGTAGCTGCTTGTGAGTAATAAGTGATAGAAATTTTGATATTGATAATATTTAAAATGAGATTGGACAAGCAAAGCATAAGGGTAAAAACAATCAGGAGTAGATTATACTATTTGTAATTACTATTACTAAACTTCCAATTTAATGGGGATGCACTCTAAATTACAGAAGAGTGATAATAAAAATACCCTTTCCTGAGATAGCCACGTTGATAGATAGCTGGACAAATAGTAAGATTTTGGAACAGACAAAAGTAATCTTGAGGTCCACATGCCTATTTTAAAGAATTTGTGCTAGAGGTGAAATTTAACTTTAGAGGTGATAACGTGTGGTGAAATTCTGACAGATGCTTTTCAATAAAGATTTGAGAAAAAGGCAAAAATGATTGCTGCTCAAAACACAAAACAAGGGGCTTTGGTATACCCAAACAGATACATGGAAAAGGTATGTCTGGAGAAGGAAAACAGCACAGAGAAAACTAGGTGCTGCTCCATCACAGGTGTATTTTCAGGAATGCAGTGGCGCAGTTTATGTTAAAATCCAGAATCATTGTCTTAGGTGCTGGTATGTTTTCTTCAAAGATGAGAGCAAACCCCTGAGTTCCCAGGTTTCACCAGGAAAAAGAATAACTCCCTGAGGAACAGCTGGGCTCCACACATTAGATGAGGAACAAGAGAAGCTGATCACATTTGAAGGAGGTGACAATGTTAGAAAGTCAAAACTTCCAGTTCTCCTCTGCCCACTTTACCACTAAGAAGAATATAACTTGATTTTAAAGGGGCTTGGTGATAAAATCAAACACACCGTCAGTCAAAGCGACTGACACACTTTCACAGTGAATTTCCTTCACAGTGAGAAATGTTTATGCTATTCTTTCTTGAGGAGCAGGAAAGCCGGAAAAACTAAATACATTTGAGGACTAAGAATATTACTAGGAACATCTAAATTCCAATTGGCAGTCCAATACAGGAGAGGAAGGAAGTTCGAAGTCATTAAATGGTTTTTACAGGACTGCAAAGGTAATGCAAATGAAGCTGTAAATAAAATGAAATTGGATGTAGCAAAAGTCTAAGCATCTGCTCTCTGAGAGCCTTGCTGCTCACTTTGAGTCCTCTACACTTTCAACACTCTCTTTCTGTGCTTGGATATTGTGCAGAAGGCAAGAAAAGGCAACCTTACAGACCACAAGGCTCAGCTCTGTGCTTTGCAGGGTGAAAATGGAAGTACAGAAGCCAAAGTTGCTTGGTTTTGGAAATCAAATTGCTTCTCAGAGGGTGCTGGCTGGAGGCAAGGAAGATGCTGTTCTTCAGGCTGTTAGTGGGAAATGTCGTAATAGTAGTTACGCAGTCTCAGCTCGACCGCGACAAATCCTGGTCGGTCATCAACGCTGTGGAAAGACAACAAGCATCACTGCACAGGAGGAAGAAAGCTGTAAGGGTGCATGGGCCTTATAATGCTTGGGACTCTACCTCGGTGACAGCTCATTTAAAGCTGCTCACAATATTGGGAGGCTACCAAAATGAGGTTAAAAATTAATGCCAAGTGGCAAATGTCGCTACAGAGCATCCAGTGAGTGGCTTTACTATCATGCCTGTTACTCTGTGGTCGGTGAAAGTGCTAGAAGAAAGAAATAGCAAATCAGCTCCATTTAATTTTCTACTTCATTTACTTTAGTAATAATCTAGAGAAAAGAGTATTTGAGGTGTAATATCTGCCTTATAATTGGCACTGCAGTCACACAGAGAGGCTTAGAACCACTGAGAGGAGCCTACCCACACACTATGACTGGGTGGTCTTTCTTCTATATCTGCAACTATTTCTTTATTTGGAGAACACAGTTAAACTGACAAGCCCCTACAATATTACATTACATATTGAGATAGTTACTCTGCCTGACTTGAACTTTTCTTTTTGAATTTGTCTTCTTTCCAATAATAAAGATCTTTGAGTACAAAAAATAATAATGAGCCTGCTTTATGATACATTTATTCATCCTAACAAAACCTGATCCATTTCACTGTAGAACTGTTACAGCATTCTTTGAGTCCAACAAAAAGGCAGGAATTATTGTATGGCTGCACATTTATTCTAGAGTACAAGGTGTAACAAAACTAATAAAGAAGCAAGGTACCCAAAAGTGAAGTACCACAGCTCCTTAAATGTAGATCTTTATCGGACACTCATATTCTCTAGATGATGAACTGGAATAATAAGTGACATTACAGTCACTTTGGGTACTTCTTGGAGCCTTCCTACAGCTAAAGGTAACTTCAACAATATAGTTTAAAATGATAAATCATAAAATAGTTTTAAAAAATTTTTGCAATATACTATTTAAAAAAAATCAGGTAGGCTTTATTTTTTTTCTTCTGTATTTCATAATTCTATCTTCTGAATTGTCAACCAGAAAAAAAGTTTTTGACATATGAAGTATGATCTGAAAAGGAAAAGATGTTTAGCCTCTCACTGGTTGGAGGTCAGTGTGGGAGCCAATCTGAGTATGTACAGAAATGAGAGAAGAGAAAATAGGTCAAAACAGCTAACTATTGAAGAATGGAATAAATATTTTGGTAATATGACTTTGAAATTTCAGTAAAGATAAAGACTTGGAAATGAAGATTAAACAAAATACAACCCAAAATGAAACAAAATTATTTGCTTAATTTCAAACGTTCTTTTCAAAATATATTAGACTGACCTTTGTGTGCAATTACATGGTTTTTATGATACCCTATATTTTGTATATAGCTGTTCCAGCAAACTCTGTTGTGCAGAATCAGCTTCTTGTAGTGCACTGTATAACTCAAATAATTTTCACCTTAAAGGGCAACTGACTCCTTAGTTTGGAGGATGGTTGTAATGGAAAAAGGGCTAAAAAGTTGCATTTTGAAATAATCCTCTCATTCCCTTTCTGGCTACTAACCATGTAGATTAAAATATACTTCTATTAAAAGACCATCATGTCACACTCACTTGTATGTCCAACACAATTTCATTAGACTGTAGACTTCTGTTGGACAGACCTCAGGACGTTCCATTCGTTCTCCTCTTTCAATCATCTGTGCAACTTCACCACCTTTCATTCCCTGGAACAGGGTGACCAGAACAGTCAGTCATCCAAGTTGCAAATACTTACAGTATGTGTGCCAGTATGAATCAAACAGAGGCCTGGAACTGATTTTTAGCTAAACCTTTGACTCATTTGTTGCAACGACTCTTTTTAGGCAGGAGAAGGCACTGTTTCAAATTTGCTCTGAATTTTTACAGGGTGAAAAAAAAAAAAAATGACCAGGTGTAATCACTCACCTTATATGGCTTTTGCCCATAAGAGAAAGCTTCCCACATCAAGACTCCAAAGCTCCAAACGTCGCTTTTGCTAGAAAATTTGTAGAAATTCATGCATTCCGGAGCATACCACTTGACTGGCCATTTTCCATGACTTTGTGCCTAAATACGTCGTAACAGAAAGGGAAAAAAGCAGGCTGGAGACAATGATAAGTACTAAACACCACCAGGTTAACTTAGATCTGCACACATTTGTGCTAAGTACCATTACATTTCTGATGTAGCTAGCTTTAGAGAGAATGGGTAACAGCCACTTCAGAAGCGTTACAAAATTGTTCGTAATCTTCCACTTTCAAAATAACGCACTGAAAGGAAATCTGCAGTAAAGCAAAGCTCAGCTAAATGACATGGAGTAATTTTTTAGTGGCATTTAGTTTAAAGGTACTCTTTAAAATTAGTTGTTTTTTTTTTTTTAATTTAGGCTCTCCACAGAGGGTAAGAGATACACACCCGGATACTTGAAGTTGAGGCTCTATTTCAAAGCAAAGTGACTGCTTTGTGGCAAACCACAGTTTGATTAAATTATGCCACAGCACTGCATTGCAGCCACTCAAGCCTCAGTCTATCCTAGCACAGTGCTAGATCTAGTGATAGGACACCACTTCATCCTGTGGAGTTGTAAAGAGAACAGACCTTTGATATTAATTCTCAAGCCTCTGAGGGTTGAGATTGACAAGCATCTCTGGGCAGGCTAGTGGCAGTGATTTCAGATGCCTTTTCTGGCAGTAGTTATTATTCCTATAAGAAGGTCATCAGAAGGGAGCATGTGCTTGCTCCTCCTCTGCAGTGCTTCATGGTCTGGCTTATTAGCTTTAAACAGCTGATGAAAGGGGATAAGCAGAAGGAACAAATAATTTGAACTGCAAGAGTGATATATCAGAAAAAAAAACGGTGCAGACATAACTACAGCCTTTGTCTTCCACCCTTTAAATGTGGCAATTATTTTACCCCCTTAGCTGTACGGGTGTTCTATGAATTTAAAACAAACTAAACAAATTCAGCTTATGTTAATTTATAATTTACCAATGGTATTCTTTCAAAAACCTTCCCTAATTCAGTTCTATTAGTCAATAATACAGTGTGTTAGCCTGTGTTTTCCGTGGACATGGTGAGAACTGGTCTGCAACAAATACATTTCCCCCCTGTTATATAAGGAAGTATCTCATTTCCACCATCATTTTCAACCTTCTAATGACAAGTTTACCAAAAGTAAATGAAAGTAGGCAAGGAAAAGAAAGAGCTTTTTCCTCCCTACACATCTCTTAATGTTAATCACCAATTTTGAAAATTGGAAACCTAATATCAGGCTATAAAATAGTGGATGATACGTAATATTTTTAATTTTCAACTTGAAAAACAAACTACATTTCCACTGAAAATAACCTTATTAAGCTATGTTACTATGCAGCTTTCATGTCTTGTTAAAAACTTACCTTATAATAATTTTCGTCTGCACTAAGAGCTTTGGAAAGTCCAAAGTCACTAATTTTGGCATAATGTTGGGTGACTAATAGCACATTCCTTGCAGCCAGATCCCTATGAACAAAGTTATTCTCCTCCAGGTATTTCATCCCCATGGAAACCTGGTGCACCAGCTCTGTTATGTTCTTCTCTGTGACATGTCTGAAAATCATAATTGAATTTTAAAGAGGTCAGTAGTTCATTTTTATGACTCTTCATGGAGTTCAAACACAAATCTTTACTATGAACTTGCCCATATCACACTGTGAACCTGATGCACTTACATTTAGCTAAGCTTTAATTAGAAAAGGCAGCCTAGGCTACCTGTCCTGGGCAAGATGGTGTGTGATCACATCAATAAATGAGCAATTGAAGGATATGTGAAAATTCTTTCATTTATTCAAAATACACTATTTTGGCAGAAATGTTTGACATGCACAAGATAATAATTTCTAATGGAGAGTAACTAGAATCATTAATTATTACATTAATGGCATGTTAATTTATAATTGCCCTTAAAGAAAAAAATAGAAGAAAGTACCTGTACACTATGAAGTGGAATCAAGGCTTACATACCTATTTTTTTGCAAAAATCTGTTTAACGGCCCAAGCTCAGCCATTTCCATTACTAACATCCAGGCCTCAGCTTCACATATGCCTATCATTCGGACAATATACGGGTTATCCAGTTGCTGCATTACATTTGCTTCTCTCAGTAATTCATCCTTTATGGCTGGATCATTACTCTCATTCTTAAGAATTTTTACAGCCACTGGCTTGGCACCCCTGCAAAAAAAAAAAAAAAATTCAGTTCTGGGACAAGCTGCTGAAAAAGCTGTGTGCTGATGCACAGAATCTTTGTCTGATGTTTCTGTGCACACGGTACAAATTGTGACAAAAGACAGAATTGACATTCAGAGGAGAAAAAAACCAACCACAACAGGAACACTGCTCTGTCCAAAGCTCGGAAGACAGTTAAGCAAAAGAGGGAGAATGAAAAGAACCCGAGAAAATTAAAAATTGTCACCAAAAAAATATCTTAAGAAGCCTGAAAACAAATGTACTGGACACAATTTCCATGCCCATTCTGGTAAGGATGGCATTTTCTTGTCAGAAAAGCTATAAAGAGCTTTCTAAGCATTAAGATGTTTCGGGGGGTGAGACTAGAACAGCATTGCAGGACCCCAGGGCAGTGCTCTGAAATCCTGAGAAATTAAGCCTACTTCTGCAACTTTCAGTTCATACAGCTACTGAAAGAGTGACTGATGACACTGACACACCTCAAGTGTGAATCAGGATTAAAAACACACGAGCTGAGATCAGAGCCCTTCAAATCACTACAGACTATACTAGAAAAATAAAAATCCCTCCTGCCTCTGAAAACCTCGGTCAAAGAAATGACCCCAGCTTCAAATGATGAGTGTATACATAAGCAGTCCATGCACATAAACAACATAAAATAACATTTTCCTATGAAAATGCATGAACAGTCAGGTAGGAACAGGGTTTGTTCCTATCCACATGATGTGATAAAAGAGGTTACAACACATTCTGTCTTCTTGAAAATCAACACTCCAGCTTCATGGAGCTGGTATTTATCATACTTATTTTAGGCAAAAAAAATCTCTTTGATGCAGGTAGCTGTCCACGGGACTCTACACTATTTCTGAAATAGATTTTGTGCAGATGGGAAACATTGCATAACACAACTGCCCACACAAACTGTGGAGGAAGGCAGTGGACTTCCCCATCAGGAAAGAAAATAGTCATAAGGAGCACTTCCCTGCTTTACTAACAAAAATGAGGGCATTATGTGTAAGAACAATGAAAGAAACTGGTGAATATTAGCCCAAATTACTTAGGTACAGTCTGTCACTCAAATGACATGCAAAGATTAACTGCTGCTCCAAACAGTGAAGGTTAGAGCTTTTACATATTAGACACCACGAAAATAGAAGGAAACACTTACTTTTTCATCCTATAGAGCCCTTTCTTTACAGTACCAAAGTTGCCAGAGCCAAGTTCACCTTCCTCCAAGGTTAACAATTTCCTGTCAAGAGTGACATTTTTTGGTTTAATTTCATCTGGATCAGCATATGGACTTTCATAGACCTCAGTATCCATGGGTAAGGCCTCTCTCTGATCACCTGCAGTTCAAACAATGAAAAAATTGGACATGATTTTAGACATTTTTTGCTGCCACAGATAATATATTCACCTTTTCTATGTTCAGGATCGTCAGTGTGTTTGACTTATAAGGGCATTATAAAGAGATCACATACAGCCCATCTATATGCACTTCAGAACATCCCAAAAGACAGTGACTTCCTCCTGGTGACATGCTTTAACTACTGGACATTTGTGCAATGTGAAACCAGGACGTTCCTTGACAGAAGGATTAAAGAAGGGTTAAATTTTGGCCCTTCTCCTTACTACTTCTCACTAGTTACCTCAGACAATTCTTCGCTCAGAATGCTGCCTTATGTGTGCTTCATTCTCAGGCACCCTACTTTAATCGCATTATACTTGGCACTGTGGATGCAACAGGGCAGAATTCTTTCTATGAAGCACAAGGATATAGCTTTTTAGAGTCAGGGAAGTAGGTGGTAACATCTGGCAGTTTCAGCTACCAGGCTTGAGTTATGGCAGTGGCTGCACCAACACATAACAGGGTGTGAAATACTTGCAACAAAAAAAAAAAAAATGGGTTCAGAGAGATCTCTGCCATAAAGAAGAAAACTGTATTAATTATATAAATTACTCTGCCTACCTCTTTCTTCTTCTGTAGAACCTCTATTTCTTTGCAGCACATAAGGATTAAAAGGTGCTTCTTCGAGTGAGTGGCCAATAGTTGACTGAAGCTACAGCACACAAATAGAGTTTTTCTGTTTAACAATGAATGGGTAAGTTAAAAGCACTTCCCCCCCCCCCAAGAATTAAGGCATAATGGTTGCAAGAGGCACATAGGTGAGAATCAGAAAGTAAGAAAGGGATACAAAAGAGTTTACTTCATTCTGAAGGTTATTGCTAAAGCAAATATCCAGGCCAAATGAAACATACACTGCTAAAGCACAAAAATATAACCAAAATATTTCAGAGCACTAGATACGAGAGAATTAACTGTACTGGGTCATGCACAAATCTTATTCTGCAGATATTAGACTTACATGATCTTTTCAAATCTGCCTTGTAACACAAGTAGTCATAAGGATTTCTCTTTAATCTGTTCTTTCTCCCTGTCCAAGTTATCTCTCCCCTTACCTAGGCCATGGGGAAATTGTTAGCAGAAATGAAAACAAAAAACAATTCCTTTTTTCTTGTGGATATTCCAGAGTGACTCCACTTAAAAGAAGTGGAACAAACTGGAGTAAAAAGTTATTATTTTAATAGAGTTGTGTAACATCAGGACAAATATAATTGACCAGATACTAGGCCAGTCTGTCTCTTCTGAGAGGGGAGAAAATGCTTTAATTAATTGAGCACCTGGTTCAAACACAATCCCTCTGCCTTTACTCTTGTCAGACGAATAATATGGAGTACCATCCCAACAGAAACATGGTGTGTTCTGGAGCTATTTGGTTGAAGGATTAGGCTGGCCCAATAAAGTATACATACTCTATTCTGTCTTTGAGCACGGAATTACAGAATATGAAATTACAGAACTTATTTCTGCAGTTTAGTCCCTTTTCTTTCTCAGTGTAGATTTTACTCTACTTATTAATTACCTCGCACTCCTAAGAGAGTGTTTTAAAATGAAAAATTCAAATGCCTTTGCAAGTTTGCTCAGTTCAAATAGGAAAAAAAAAAGTATATTGCACTTGAAAAATACTGGATAGGGTTATTTATATACTTGAGTATATAGGTCTTCTTTTTAACAGCTGAAGTTTTCAGTGTCATAAGTTCCAAAAACTTTGCAGTCCTTTCCAACCAAAACCATTCAATGATTCTATGGCGTTTTCTGGAGTGAACTGTTAAATACAATACAAGTTTTATCTTTTGGAAACTCTATTTAGTAGGGAAAACACCTGACTTGGGAATTACAGTTCCTTAAATCCTGATGAAGTTATCTGTCCAGCTGGACGAAATAGAAAAGGTTTCACTATCTAGATTTTACAGCAAACCATGAGTAGGAGGCCAGCTCTCAGCAAGGTTCTGGCCTTGTGGGATGAGCACAGTGACATCAGGCATGGTAAGGGAAGTGTTTTTGGCTTGAATTCCTCAGTCTTAGGAACAGTGTTGAAAGGCCACTTGCCATCAGGGTAAGCCACAAAAGCGCCAAGACGGTTCTGGGGCAGGTCAGGGGACAAACTGACTGACCTACCAATCTCAAGAACAAGAGAGGCAAACGAAGTTATAAAACAAGATCCTCAGCTCTAGTTTTGTTTCTCTAGGCTGATACACCTTGCCAGCTTTGCAAGGAGGAACTGTTTCCAAGACCTGTGTCATTCTACTTCACACAGGTAATTCCCTAAGCCAAAAACCCCAGTAGGATTTGAACTCAATCATAAATCTCTCAATTTGGGCTGGTAGTTTCACTGTGAATACTTAGGGCAATTTTTTCCTACACTGTAGGTATATATAGGAAAATGCTTATGTTCAGTCAAAAATATTAATCAAATTTTGCTTTGCAAAGAATTATACTTACTGATTCCACAGTGATTTTATCTCGTGTGTTTCACAGATCCTGAATTGCTTCAGGATGCATCAAGAACACTTGAGGGGTTTTATCTTGTTGCTAGTTACTATGACCCACTCAGTATTACTACCAAGAAGTGATTGTAATCCCACTGGACAGCTTCCTGGATGTATTCTTGCTTCCTACATTAACAGTATTTATACTTTTAAAGGGAGATCATTTTACATTCCAGAAGTCATTTGGAGTCAATTAATCGAGTGGATACAAAGCAATTTGGACGGCCATCAATACCTGTTGTTAGACAGATACAAGTGCAATGGAGACAGGTACAGCTTGCCACATTGCATAGATTTCATGGAAGTCTCTGAAGTCTTGGAATGTCCCACAGTATATACCTCACCTAAAACATCACAGAAACCTTTTCTGTAGTCACAACTAGGTAAAGTCATACAGGTGTACCTGTAGCTCCAAGCTAGTTAAATATTCCTGAACCTAAGTCTCAATTTATAAATTGATCTGCTTTGAACTGGCCAAACATAATGTACATCAAACTCATACATCTCAAGAACCTATTCACCAGAGAAGAACATTTGGTGAAAATACAGCTCTGGTCAAGACATAGCTGAGTCCTTAAGTGGAACATACAGAGATGTTTCTGCTCTTTGCAATTCAAGAACAAAATAAAAGAATCAGAAAGAATTGGATGCTCTTGCTCAGGAACTGCACTGAAAAAAAGGAGCACCTCAGTTCTGTGCTTGTAAATAAAGCGCTGTAACTGTGAATTGGAAATCACACATCGACACCAGATAAAGTGGGTTCTCTTTCTCAGAGATCTCCTCATTTTTGAGAAGGATATCTTATGTATCATTAGTGTTAGCTTGGTAACTAATATAAATGTATGCATGGAATGTTACTTCTGATTGTTGCAGATTGATTAAATAGCTTAATAATGTCTTTTTCATTTATATTGCTTCCTTCTTCTCTGGAAGGAAACGGGAGACCTGGCTACCATGAACAAAGAAAAGGCTGAGGTTCTCAATGACTTCTATGCCTCAATCTTCAATGGCAAGTGCTCTCCAGGCATGCTGCCCAAGTTGAGAAAGACAAATGCAGGGACTGGGAGAATGTGCACAAGTCCATGGGAACTGATGAGATTCATCCAAGTGTCTTCAGGGATCTGGCAGACAAAGTTGCTAAGCCACTATCCATAATTTTTGAAAAACTGTGGCAGTCAGGTCAAGTCCATGATGACTGTAAAAAGGTCAATATAACCCCCCATTTTTTAAAAATGGGAAATCAGAAGACCTGAGGAACTAGAGATCAATCAGTTTCGCTTCTGGGCCAGGCAGGACCATGGAGCAGATTTTCCCGGAAACTATGCTAAGGCACATGCAAAAAAAAAGAGGTGATTTTCAACAGGTAACATGGCTTTACCAAGGGAAAATCATGCCTGAACTTCTATAACAGGGCTGCAGCATTTGGTGGGTGGGACAGAGCAACCGATGCAGCTTATCTGGACTTACACACCAAAGCGTTTGACACATCCTTGTCTCAAAATTGGAGAGACATGGATTTGATGGATGGACCACCCAGTGCATAAAGAACTGGATGGATGTCTGCCTGCAAATAGTTGTGGTCAATGGCTCACTGTCCCCGCGGAGAGCAGTGACGGGCGGTGTCTCTCAGCGGTCGGTGTTGGGGCCGATGCTGTTCAGTGACAGGGACAGCGGGATCGAGGGCACCCCCAGCAAGTTTGCTGATGACACCGAGCCCTGTGTGCAGTTGACACGCTGGAGGAAAGGGATGCCATCCAGAGGGGCCTTGACACAGCTGAGAGATGGGCTTGTGTGAACCTCATGGAGTTCAACAAAGCGAAGCGCAAGGTGCTGCACCTGGGTCAGGGCAATCCCAGACACAGCTACAGGTTGGGTGGAGAAGTGGTTGAGAGCATCCCTGTGGAGAAGGATTTGGGGGTGATGGTTGATGAAAAACTCAACGTGAGCTGGCAGTGTGTGGTCACAGCCCAGAAATCCAACTGCATCCTGGGCTGCACCCAGAGCAGCGTGGCCGGCAGGGCGAGAGAGGGGGTTCTGCCCCTGTACGCTGCTCTTGTCAGATCCCCTTGGAACACCTGTACAGTTCTGTTGCCCCCCAACATGAGAAGGACGTGGAACTGTTGGGGTAAGTCCAGAGAAGGGCCTCAAAGTTGCTAAGAGGACTGGAGCACCTCTCCCACAAAGGCAGGCTGAGAAAGTTGGGGCTGTTCAGCCTGGAGAAGAGAAGGTTGTGTAGAGACCTCATGGCAACCTTCCAGTGTCTGAAGGGGCCTACAGGGAAGCCAGAGAGGGATCCTTGGTCAGGAACTGTATTGATAGGACAAAGAGTAATGGGTACAAACTGAAAGAGGGGAAATTAGGTTAGATATTAAGAAGAAATTCTTCGCTATGAGAGTGGTGAAACACTGGAACAGGCTTCCCAGAGAAGTTGTGGGTGCCCCATCCCTGGCAGTGTTCAAGGCCAGGTGGGAGAAGGCTTTGAGCAACCTGATCTAGTGGGATGTGTCCCCCCCCAGTGACAGAGGGGGCTGGGACTAGATGATCCTTAAGCTCCCTTCCAACACTTCCAACACAGAATTCTATGATTCTGTGATTTCTGATTGAACTGCAATTTAATATTTCACAGGCACATTTTCAGCTCATAATAGTAACTTGGGAATGTTGTGCAGTACTCAGAAAACCTCAAACATTTTTCTTTAGTTCATGCCACTCATGTAGTCATGGCATGTAGCACCCTGCATGCCTTTGAATAAGATTTTCTACCAGGAATTGGATTTTCTACCAGGAGATGGAATTTCTTCTCTTGCAGTCAAGCAAGGCTGACTAGAAATTATGAAGGAGGTATGTACCATTGAATGTACAGTGATCTGGGTAATAGTACAATAAAATTTCCTTCTATTTAACTATCACTTAAATCCAAAGTCCTTTCTTCCCTACACTTTTAAAACATCAAGCTTAATTCTACAGATCTTTTTTAGACAAACGGAACTTTATCTTAATACAACCAAGACATAGGATAAAAGATTTCTTCTTGTATTCTTACATGAAACAAAAAATTGGCAAAATGACCATGAATTTCTTCAATCAGTAAAAAAGGAATACAAGAAAGGAGTCCTCTAGAGGAGTCTGTTAAAAATGTCACATATTAATGAAATGGCTCCAATTACTCTAAATCTGACTTTTACAGTAAAGATTATAACTTCATATAAATAATATAGTAATATTCTTATAAAGGCAATCCGTACAGCAAGAGCAATTTCTTTTCAGGTTAATAATTCTGATTTGAAAAAATGTAGACTTATATATAGGATCATAAAGTCGTCTTACTTTGCTAAACCAAACTGAACAGCTAAACACTTCATGACAAAGATCTCATTACCCAAATCCTCAATGCGCTTTGGCTAAGACATCTCAGTTGCCACTAGGTGGCACGCGTTCATTTAAATTGTCTAAATTACCAATCTCGAGCAGAACAGCTCGAGAAATTTTGATCTGGATTATTTATATATAATTTTAGTATTCAGATCAAAATTTGAGTTTGTGAAATTAAAAAAAATATTCCCAATAATGAGTAAATATAATATTAAAAATAAGCGGCTTTTTTAATTTACTCTCTGAAAATTTTTTACATAACTGCCTAATTAACCAGGTGTAAAGTAAACTCTCCACGTTAGGGTTAATGAATAGTAAATCTTGGAATTGTTCAGAGCAGGACTTTTGCCTAGAGTCTAAAATCTGACAGCATGATGAAACTTGTGGGTCTGAGTATTCAGGGTTAAGTACACGTAAATGGTGATCAAATCAGATTTCTGAAATTATGTTTTTAAATGATTGGTCCTTCTCTGCCAATATGCTTCAGGCTGTACTCTGTGTCTGTTGCCCAGAAGGGAGGAAATAGATATTTGACAGCAGGAAGTGAGTGACCAGGGTGAGTCACAGGTTTTACCAGGTGAACAGACAGCAGTGTAACCAAAGCCATGACTACTGAATTCAAAACCCACACTCACTTTTCTGAATGAAACCAAAATGTGTGAGAGTATGGGATGGTATTTCAGATGGTTTGGAGCACGTCCTGACACTGCATATATATTTGTACAAGATAAATGCACACGGAAAAAGAGATGTGTGTCCTGTAAGGATATACAGATGACAACAGCTATTGGTACTTCAGTATAAAAGTGAACCAAAGCAGTAGAAAAAGAATAATTGTTATTTATCAGGATTATCAACTACAGTACAAATCAAATACAGTTTTTCACTCTGAACAGCAGCACACCTCTAGGGCTTTTCATGCCTGATCATTTTTGTTGAAGAGCAACCAGAAATAAATAAATAAACATAGACTCATGGATGAAACAGGGACGTACATGTTATTCTCAGTATGCAAACAAGCTCATAACTATGTGCTTCAGAGCTACACCAATTACTGGACAGCACAATTTTCTGGACATGCAACAGCATTTTCACTAAGACAGGGCTGGGCTCCCCTCGACTCCCTGATATCACCTTTCCCATTCTGCTTGGTCTCGTGACATCTTACACTTGCCTACATGCAATTCAGTGCATAACAAGATTTGTGCACATAGGTTATGTAAGAATATATTTTATTAACAAATTGTCCTGCAAGTGTGTTAAGTAATAACATAATTATGTAAGTATGACAATTTTCTGATCAGGAGGGATAGTTCAGAGTAGAAATATAATTTTGTTCGTCCGTAAATGAGTGGTTTTGAAAAACATTTTATCACTTACATTTAATTTGCAGACATGTTGAGATCTCCACAAATATTTTGTGAGAAATTACTTAAAAATAGTCCCTCTATTTTTAAAACTTCTTCAAACCCATTGCTTTGCTTATAAAATCAAGCCCATAATTATGCAGATGATTAGGAAAGAAACAGAAAGCTTACAAAATCTTCACAACCTAATTGTTAGTAGTCAAGACAGCAAGCCAAAAGAAGGGGAAAAAAGAGTGAAATTAGTCATGTAAGTCTTTTTAACTCAGTCAAAAACCTAAAAAAAGCCATATATGAGGCACCTTTTTGCTGCCAGCCTTTGGAAAGGTGTACGATTTGAGTCTCGAGATAATTCCACCTCCTGCCCAACTCTAGAAACCACAATGTCAAAGAGGAACAGTGAATGTGTCATGAAAAAATAGCTAAAAATATTTTACAAAACAAAAGTGCTCCACAAGAATAAAACACTCCCAACCCTTCTCTTGCGTGCCTGCAAGTACGTATGTGATGCATCAAACAAATGTAGCATAGGAAACCTTAGTACTACATTTTGTTTCAACTGTATGCTGCCAAACCATCTTGAATCTGTAGATACACCTTAAGGCAGTTTTTAAAATTCAAGTGCACTGCCCTTTCCCCAAATCTGTATTTATACAGTATGTTTCATGTTTCTCCCGCCTCTGTTATTGAATTTTAGCCACCCCTCCCACCATATTTAGCAATGTGAAGCAGTTGATTACTTTGGTATGGGGAAGTATGACAACTGTATTGAGCAAGGCTTGAAGCACAACTTTGTCTTACAACAAACAACATGAAGTAAAAAGCACACAAAATGATATTAATTCCAAACAAAAATGAACAGGCTTTACATTTTTTACACTGACTTATGTTCTGTATAAAGATACTTTTACAAGATATACAAATATGTTCTATAAAAATGAATTAATTTAATTAAATGTGACAAATTAGCATTTTCAGGGGTCACTGAGAGATCATACCTGACTACATAAAACTGTGATGTAGTACTTGCAGAGTAAACATTTAGACTGATGCTGAGGTTGAAATAATGATCTGAGACACATCCTCAGCTGCTTTAAACAGCCTTTGAACAGACTTTGCAGGGAGAAAAAAGTAACTTACAAAGTTAAAGGAGTCAAAATCACCTTATATCTGGTCATGGAGCCTCTGGTGAAAGGCAAGGTCTGGTTCATCCAGATCAATTTTTCAATTTTTTTTTTTTAATTTAAATTTTTATATGTATTGCAGCCTGAAATACAGTGGTGATACTCTAAAGCCTTAGTGGAATAGTCTTAGCATGTCCAAATCTGAAGTTGCTTTGAAGATAAGAAAGCGTATGAACACTGTAGAAAGATCTGCTGAATGATATGCAGGACAGATTGTCCAACTAATTTAATGGCAAACTGTTCATGTATAAGGGCTTGGAGTAAACTTTACATCAGGGAAGGGATTTGTGTTGCGTTTGCTACTGAGCAAACTTGGAGTAACAAAGTGTAAATGTTTCTTGTAACATGGACATCTGCTTTTTAATGATACTAATATGCTTCCTCTGCAAAAGGAAGTAGTTTATGGTTCAAGTCTGTAATGGAGGTTAATTTTTCCATGTAGAATGTGGAGGCTTGCTTATTCTTGCTTCTCTTAGAACATCATGGATAATATGAAACATTTGTAGTATTCCCACACTGTGTTTGATCCATCCCTGTAACTGCAGGTACACCAGATGATATACATGGGACCTCATGGGCTTAAACTTCGTGGACTTACTTGTAAATGGCACAGATCCAAATCTTGAGGCAATATTTAATAAAAAATAAGAGACTGATTTTGGTTGCATTATTTCCAATTATTTAAAAGGGCACTTCTGATTTTCAGAAGTGAAGGAATGCAAATGCTTGTTCAGAGACCTGCAGGGGCTCAACAGTACCCAAATAAATATAATTGCCTAAAATATTTTTCTATAATGTGGAACAACATCAAGATAATGACTTAGATGATTGAGCTCTCCGGGGAGACAACTAAATTAAACCCTTTTTTTCAGATGAGATTGACTACCTCTGAATAAGATAGTGTTACGTGATTCTGTGTACGTATCACACCTGGGGTGGCTCCTCTAATCAGTGGACTCTGAGAACTTAGGCAATTAGAATAATAGATTGGCTTGCTCAGTCTTTGTGGAGTTGGAGAAAGAATTGCCCCTAACTCACTGCACAAGGAGTCAAACCCTCGTGCAATGCCGGATGTTAACTGCACACAGCAAATAAGGTAAATTGAACCTCCATTTCAGCCAGCAGATTCTCAAAGTGAACAATGCCAGTAATACAGCATCTCTTCTTCTATGGCTGATACAATCACTATAGAACATGATCATCAGTGAGGCATTTTGCCTGTTTTTTTCACATACATTATATGTGTAAAAGAAGTTAAAAATTAAATGATTACTAGAACATTCAAAACAATGATGAAAGCAATACTACTGTAGAGTATGTTAAGCTTCTTTTCAACTTACTGCTTATATCCCTAGAAAAACAAATTCACAGCTGCAATAACGTAAAAGATTTAGGATTCACAAAGCAGTATGTGACTGTAATCCTTCTCAAATAAATGCTGTTGCTGTATCACCACATAATCTTACCTTAGGAAGTGTTCCAGAGGGAGAAGGATGAGCATTAAAACCAAAATTATCTGTAAAATAATCAAATGTAGAATGATACTGAGCAAGGTGAGAAGTTTGTGTGAGAATGCAGAATTTTACATAGGGAACCAACTTTCTAGTTTTTAAATCACATTACAGTGTTTCTCTTGGACCATATTCTTTGCTCTTTTTTCTTATATGCAGCAGACTCTGGTATCTGCTGCCACAGAGACAAAAGCATGTGCAGTGCCTAAATGATTCAAAGGAGAAGAAAAAGTACAGGTGGGAAAAGTATGTAATGATTCAAAGGAGTAGAAAAATGAAAAATTAAGCTTTAGACGTGGTGATTTTAAATGTATTTTCCAACTGTGATTCTATTCTATTCTATTCTATTCTATTCTATTCTATTCTATTCTATTCTATTCTATTCTATTCTATTCTATTCTATTCTATTCTATTCTATTTCTATTCTATTCTATTCATCTTCTCACCATGGCACTGGTATCCAGCCAGAATGACATAAGAAGGCCTTGGAGAGAGAACACCACTTCTGGAGGGGCACAAGTTAGACACAGTTCCATCAGAAGCATCTCTTTTCCCCTTTCAGTCAGAGCAAGAGGGAGGGCAAGGTCTTTTCAGTACGACATGCCATTAAAGAAGAAACAGGATAAAAAGCACACTGAACCTTAGGACATGTCCCTCCACCCCTTCTCCCCCTTCCCCCTCTTTATCAAGGAGATGCCTCTCTGATCCCCGTTTCCAGCATCTGGTGCAGCCAATCCATTGTTCTGCCCTGCCCTCCCCAACAGGGGAAGCAGCTCTTCATCTTCCAGAGACTCACCTGCTGGGTGCTCCCAACCTGAACACCCAGGGCAGCACTGCTGATGTGCTTCAGCATCTGGGGTGAGGAGCATTGGAGCAGTGCTGGGCAGACCACCTTGCCTGTGTGTGTCGTTCCAGCAACACTCACTGCCCCTTTGAGCAGTAAGGCACATTTCAGATCTGACACTACTTTAGAGGCAGCAATAATCTGAATTGCTAGCCTGGAGCTAAAGGATCTGCCTCCATCATGCGTGGTCTGGTAGGTATTAACTCGTTTGAAAAGCAGAAAATCTGCACCCAACCTACATGTCAAGTGGAAAAATGTGCATGTCTTTATCATAATTGTCATGGGTGTTCATAAACATAAAAATAATAGGAATAACTCACCATTTTCTGAGCCAAGTTGTGGACAAGGAGTGGTAAGGACCCTTAGTAATCCATCTGGTTTGTATGAATAATGTTCAACTAACTAACAAAATGAGAGGGGAGGGAAAAAAAAAGAAAGAATAAGAGAAAAGTATGTGAAAAGGTAAGGGTGATACAATTATATATTGTCTCTTTAGGACTGTGTGCATATGTATAATCATTGCTATATATTACAACAAATGATCTGGGCATACAGCAGATCTTTACTGCACATGTTCTTATCTCACCTTTACTTTTATTTAGCAGGGGTTCATGTTTCTGAAGTAACATTATGGATGAACCTTGAAAGTGATCCAGGAATTGGATTTGTAAGACTCAGCATTCCCCACTAGTTCTGCTACTAAACAGGTTTGTAACTCTGAGTAAATGATTTATTTTTATACCTTTGGGTTTTCATCCTCTTCTTCTTTGTGGTGTGGGGTTTTTTTTTATTTGGTTTGGTTTTTTTGTTTGTTTGTTTGTTTGGTTTGGTTTGGTTTTGGGTTTTTTTTTGTGGTTTTTTATTTGGTTTGTTTGTTTGTTTTAATTTTTGGGGTATAGTTACAGTGCAAGAATTGTCCTAATACACAATGCTTTCTTTGGACCTCAAAGTTGCAATGAGATGCATGCAGTTAATAAATGTATAGCACAAACAGTTGTGTCCATTTGTGCCCGAATTGTCCTCTCCATGTCATTTTGTTACAGATTTGTTACTTCTATTTTTACTTTGGTGCCTTTGGGTAGAAAGGAGACAGTCTGTGAGAGTAAGAGTTGCAGACGTTCAAAAAAATTGTAAGACAACACAGCTGCTTTAAAATTTCCAGTGACACCAGGAAAGAAATATGCAGGACATTTACAAAAAGGCCAAGAATTAATATATGCAAACAAAGAATCATATTTTAGATTTGTGAGTCATTTTACGTGTTTTAATAGATTTTTAAGCAAGAGGACATAAGAGATTTCTATGAGGGTTTCAATTCCCTTAGTACTTTTAATGTACTCATTTCACTAGTGTTCAATTTTAGTATTAAGAAGTATGCACTTCTTAGTTATTTAATCTTTACCAATGTTCAGACATATTTTGGTGGTAAGCCTCAGCAAATTAACCTTTTGCAGATTTGAAGGTAGAGAATTTCAAAGCTAAAGACTGCATTATGTGTACAGCATCTCAAATCATTCAATTTGTACTTCCTGGAACTCTGTTTGCTGCTGTCATAAAGGTCATTAACAAAAGACTACACCAAGCATAGCCATGAATATGGTCATTTGCAAATGCAAATGGACTTCCATTCCAGAGAATGTTCAGCCAACTGAATAACTAATTACAGCAATTTTGAACTCGGCTAGGCTGCAACATCACATTTAGAAATGATTAAACCCTCTACACTCACATAGCTGTCTATATTAACACATATTTTCCTCACGTATAGAAGCCACACAAAGTTGGAAAGATATAAAAAATAACCTGCCAGAACACATTGGTTTTGGCCAAAGGCTATTGCAACATGGCAAAATAAAACAAAGCTGCCTTGGTCAGTTACAGGGAAATCTGATGACAGTTATCCACGTGATAAAAATTTAACAGACCTGCCAGAGGGTGTCAAACCTTTTTCCGTCTGGTATGGAGAGCTTTCCTGTCTTGTCTCTGTCAATTCGGTAGTGCAGTACTTTTCCATCATTTAGCAGGCACAGGGCATAGGAACCATTCCTGTCCCTCTCTCGGATACTGTAGGAATAAGATTTTCAGGGTTACAGTCTAATAGGAATATTTTTTAGATTTTGAGTTAAAAACAAAACAAAGTCAGCATTGCAACTTTTGAAGACATTTTGTTAAGCTTTTCATTTATTTCTTCGAGTAGCTTGTTTTCAGATAAATTCCCTGAAGTTTCCCTTCTTTTCCCCAAAATGCAACAGATTGAAACAGAAAATCCATGGCTGCAGAACACTGTGCAATGCATAAAGAACGCTCTAAATAAGCATTTGAAAGCTTCTGCAGTGCTGGCCTACCTCTCTTGTGTATTTTATTTGACAGTAAGAGCAGAAAATAAAACATTAAAAGAATATAATGTGAAAATCAAACAAAGAGAAAATCTCTGTGCTCTGAAATAGATTTTTTTTTTTCTGGGAATGCATTTCTGTAATCATTAATTCTTAAAATTTCAGTAAAGACATTGCTTTGTTGCAGATTTCATGCAAAATTCATTTGAAACTCTAGGTGGCATTGGCACATATATATCTAAACTTCACCATGGACAGATCATGAAATGTAATATAAAAATTGCGTCTAAAATTCATAGGTAGCCAGGATGATCTCCTTTTTTTCAAAAGACCTGCAAACACCATCTGAGATGCCTGTGAAATGTGGCAGAGTTGTTTTATGTGTACTCAAGGTCTGTGTATTTTGGTGACTGGACTCAGAGGAGACAGGAATTTGCCACTGGCTCCATCACAGTCAGTGCAGTGTTTCTGAGTTTAGAAAGCAGGCTTTTTCTTTTAGTTTGAGTTGCCCATGTGCACTTACTACTGACAGTGAGACAGCAATAGAGCTAGACCAAAAATTTTCCGGCTTTTTTAGTGAAAAACCCAGATTCTGCAACAGTGAAATATTTCTTGCTCCAATGTGCACAGAAATCTACTCACTCTCTCTTGAATTTTTGAACAGCCCTGGAAAGAAATACAGCAGTATATGCTCACTAAGATGTTGAGAAGCTTTGTTGGTGCAGCACTAGTACTTGTTATTGTATCTCAAAAGATTGCAGAGGCAGGTATTACATTCTGTTCCTCAGCTGACTCACTCAACGCTGAAGTAGAACTATGTTTTGTCTGAACTACTCATGCACCTGCTTTTTTTAAGTAGAGTGATTCTTGTTGCCTAATATTGAACAGGACACTGGCTAAAGGAAAAGGGAAGTAATGTCAATTTTTTTTTGTTTTCTGAAACCAAAGTAGCTTGCCTAAGTCTCTAAGGCAAATTGAAACACACTGTGGTTTTTCATGATAGGTGTTTTCTCAGCATGTTGATTTCCTGTGCTGACTGACCAGTGAAGAGCAATGGGCTCTGCTAAAATGAAGAGTGGCTTTTACTTTGTCTTCCTCTGACTTGCTCTAAGCAAATAAGGCTTAGAAAAGTATTTTCAGAATAGAGGACATTGCTTCTAAAACACAAATTTTTTTGCAATCAAACTTCTCCTCAGAATAAAGCACAAGTAAGACTAGAAAAATGCAATGGATTGCTTCCCAGTAACAAATGTCCTTCGTGTTCCACGTGAAGAAATGATGGCTCCAGTGCAATTAGATCTACTGTAACTGATTATCATGTGCAAGCTGATACTATCACAAGAAGCACTGTAAACATTTCTTGAGAGCACAGGCACCCATAGGAGAGGAGAGCCCTGATTGATAAAGACCACGGCACAGACCCAAACAGCTCTATCACTATTTAGTGAAGGATTTAGGCAGAGTTCAGGTTTATAAGGTTGTAGGTGCATTTCTGAGTGTTTTCTTCCCCTAACCCAACAGCTACATAACTCTGAAGACATCTACAGTTCACAGTCAGGGCAACTTCTGTCAGACTGCTCTATCACCCCACATCCTAAAAGAAGTCTCCATTCTAACACTTATGATTGACCAGGGTCCAGGGGGAGCCTTGTTCTCCCAGGGTTAGGAGAAAAAACACCTAGCAGGTGTTTTTTAAACTGTAGGCAGTCAACTCAAGTACAACCAGGATCCTTACAAAAAAACCAGCCAAAACCAATAAACAAAACAACAACAACAACAACCAGAAAAACCAACAAAAAACCCCCAAACAAACAAAAAACCCAACCCAAACCACACACACACACGCACAAAAAAAACCCCAAAACCACAAAAAAACAACAAAAGAAAGAATTTTGGCAAGGAAGCCAGTACTGAAATATCACTTGGTCTTCCATTTCATGCTATAGCAGAGAATTACAAATGTATAGAAGAAAAACATAAAGATAATAAACACCTGTAGATAAATAATATTGCCCTTTCATCCACTGAAATTAATTAGAAATATGAACAACTTCATTGAGAAAAAAATTGAATTCACAGATATTTTCGAGAAGTGCCAAGCTACCTAGATTTTTTAAAACAACACAAAAAGGAAAGTAGAATCTCAAACTGCTACCTTATGCAATGCAATCAAATTTAGGTATTGATTTTATATTTCATACAATCTATGTTTGAGTAATTTCTATGTTTTTGTGACTGTAACCCAGATAGCAATCAATACCTATTTGGAGCATCATTACAGACAGTGTAAATACCCATCCATTCCCTCCTTTGGTAAAGTCTATTTTTCTTTGGAAGCAAAATGAACAATGCCCCAATTTTTTTCTGCTTCTATCTGAAAAACCAAATGATCCCTCTCTTTCTAAAGGAAAATATCCCTGAGGGTAAAAAAAAAAATAAATTGCTACTATAACATGACTCATTTACTGTGTAGAAAAAAAACCCAGAAGTCGCAGCATTTTACAGCGGAGAATAATGAAGAAAATAAAGGAGCAAAATGCTTGTTTTAGGAATGGTGTGACACTATTCTTCCTCCTGAATCCAAGGCCAATCCAAGTTTATTCTATGCCTTGCTTTGCCTTCTCAGCGATTACAGCTTTTTTGACGCCAGAGATACTGACATTCCTCACTGCTGATCGAGCTCCAGCCATTCCCTGCTTGTCTGCCCTTATGACCATCTCTCTGGTAATGCTATTAGCAACATGGCTACTCATTATCACTTCAAAGATCTGCTGCACACTGCACATGTTCCAAGTTTTAAGGCAATAAGGAATGAATTTGGTGCCATCTGTAGAAGAATTATATAAAGGACAAAATCGATCGACCTCTGCCTGCATTTGCATCATTTCCTCTCCTCTGTTTGGTAACACACTCAAAGCTGCTTCAGAAATGTCAGCACACTATAGAATTTAGGAGATAGCTCAGCCTCACACTGTTGCTATCTACAACGGAACCTGAAAATTCACCTCCTCCTAAGGCTGCTGCACAGTTACAAAATACTTTTGCGAGAAAGATTGCATCACACTGGTCTGTTTAGCTGACTTCACCCTGCTGGCAAAATAAACTGTGTTCCACCAAACCCCTGACAAACAGCTTTGCTGTAAAACTGCACCTCAATAGGGCACCTTCTCAGCTCAGCTACCTTAGTAGGGGACCGTGGCTTTTTTCACACCTTTGACTCTTCCTGCTGAAGCAGACGAAGAAGAGCCAGCTTTGAGAAGCCACAGCCCCACTGCAGTGTCACTCAGCTATGCACCTACCTGAAGTTCAGAACACAACTCTCCCAAGCTGCTGTGGAGCGGAAGGCAGCACCCCCAGAAACAAGGTTCACTGTCCGTGTTTTATCTTGAAACATTTTTCTGTCGTGTAATTCCATCAACTGCTTGGCACTTTGAAGAGGAACTTCATCGTTAATTAGTAGCCCTGAACTGAGGTCTCATTTTCACCTTATTTGATGTCAACAATGTCCAGTTCCATTTGTGGATACAAACTTAATATCAATAGAATTATTTAAAGAATACTCTACAAGGTCAGATAAATCTCCTACATCAGTATGCACCCTAGTAGTGGGAAAGCCCTAGAAGGCAGTAAGATTAGTGCAAATATAGACTGCTAAGTATAATAGAAAAAGAAATTTTTTATCAAGAAAAAGACAAGAAAACTCCTACAGACAACTGCAATTCCAAACTTGTTATTTTGAAACGTTTTTACTAGTGTTAATTATTGTGACATATAAGAGACAGTTTAGTTTCTAGATGTCATGGGATGCCATGACGAGCATCTCTGTGAATCATTCTAATAGTCTAAACTACTTTTGTCCTCTTTAGTAATCTCATTGCATACTGAAGACATTCACATGATACCAAAATAGTTTCCTACTTTCTTTTTACATAACTGTTCGTATTTTATGTGAACTACATAACACCTGTGAACCCATGTAAAAAGTTCACAGAGACAAAACTGCTAATTATGCAATGCCTTCACTTACATTTCTGTAATGCTGATTTTTAAGTTTAACAGTCTTTCTGAATATTCTTTATCCCCCTCCAACTTCAGAACTTCTGGTTTCTAATACATATGCAGGATCACATGTTCATGTAACTGAAGTGGTCATTACTGGTGACAAATCAAGATGTGCCAACACTAACCACATAACAGAGCTGTTTCCTATGTGAAACTGTAGAGAAAACTGACTTTTCATATATTGGTGTTCTGCCACTGTTAGCACAGTTACAATTTATTTTTAAACTGGTTCACACGTGTACAGTCACATACATAATATTAACAATATAAATATGTTATGATACATTATAAATATAAATACTATTACAATATCAATAACAGTATTACCAATATTAATAGTTTGATCTATGATCAATGTGTCCTACCAGGCAAAATCTAATAAAACCCAGAAGTCTGGTCAAGAATTGTCATCCAACATAGAATGCAAAGTGTGTAAATGAATTTAACTGGGGCTTAAAGTTCTCTATTTCCAGTTGTTCTTCATGTTCTTTTAGAGATATTTTACTTTTATTCTACTGCTATATTTTTTTCTCCAAATTTTGTGCCAAGTGGCAATCTTACTTAAGTGTTCTTCCCAGAAGAGAAGGACACCTTTTTATTTCATGTCATTTCATGACATATTGTTGCTATGTTTGGGTTCGAAAACAAACTCTTTAGCATCCACATACATTCTTACTTTATTGACTCTTCACTCACGAAAAACTTTAAAAAGACCTTTGAAAATTCCCTAGTAAAATACCCAGTTAGCTCAGAATTTTTCTTTGAGTGAGTTGTAGTGTTGTCCTTATGGTGTTATTCATGGTATTTTGAACTGCAGTCAGGAAACTTTTCAATTATTGCCATAATTAATATATTAAAAATAATTCTAGATTTTGTAATCCTGTAGTGCTGCAAAGCAGTGCTAAAGAAATCTAGATTTAGATATGTTCTCGGAGAGACTGCTGTGCTGGATTTTGTTTCAAGGCAGTTAGGTCAGAGAGATAGCAAATTTCTGGTGCAATGAAGTTTCAGAGACTTGTTAAAAATATATAGAAATATTCTAGTCTTCTAATATTTATTATTTTTTTCCATGATAAAAATATGATTTTTGTCATATACTAGCATCGGTTTGTGGAATTGTTAAATAGCCCTGGAGTACTTCACTTCGTTAAAAATCTATCTTCCCTCTATGTTCCCAGGCTCCAGTTCCTACCTCAACAAGCAAACTTGTCTTAGACCTTGACAAGTTTTGCTTTTTTAAGTTTTTTACATGTTTAAGTTTTACTTTTCAGTCAGCAACCAGGCTTGAGTATATCAGCCAGTGCAAGAAAAAACAGTCCCTGAGCAGCCACATCCACAAATTCACAGTCTTCAGTTCACAGACGTACAGAATATTCTGCCAAGCACTGCTGCTCAGTAAGTAAAGCTGTGTGATGTCTGTGCCTGAAACGTAAAACAATGCACCACTCTCACGCACAGCAGCTTTGCTGCTGCTGCTTCAGTTAGCCAGAAATGAGTGGTTTATTTCTCAACACCTTCTGAGCAAGCCCATGTTAAGTGAACTGCTGCAGAAAACCTCTCTGAATTAGACAGTCCTTTTGTTGTTTGCTGTGAACCTCTAGGTCTATGGATCTAAAAGCTAGCTCAGGACGACAAAATAATGGATTTCTGATGCAAATGAGCAGCACATTATTTCTCTTGCTGCTCTGTTTCTTCCCTGAGACCATAAAAGTAAATGGCAGACGAGTGGTTACTAAGCTCTAAACTGACCAGATAGGAAGTCTGTGCAAAGACAATCAATGCACTGGAAAACACCCTACAGATGCAGATGTAAACATTATTATGCTTAATAAGAGGGACCCAAGCTCAACACACCAGCAGTTATATACTCATATTACTTAAGCTCCTGTGGCACTTCTTATGGTTTGAAGAGAGCCCTAAAGTTGGCATTTTCTCCTCTATGGGTTTATCTACCTGATATGAAAGCAGCCACCTGAGTTCCAGCAAAACTATATAAGGTACAGACCCACCAACACAACTAGTCCTGTGGGACAAGGCCTGAATGCTCCCCACACAGCTCATTGAGCATGTCACTGCAGACAGCAGTCTCCTAGGCCATCTTTAAGGAACACAGGGAAATGCTGGGAAAGTATTTCTATTCAAAGCAGTAGGAATGCTTATAGAAAATTAAAATGAGATCAGTGTTTATAATAGAGACTGAAAAGGTCTAGTCTGCTAAAAAGTCTCACTCCCTTACTCCAAAGCCTACGCCTGTTGTTAAGAAATATTAGCCAATGGATCCTTTCCTTTGGAGAAAAATTTGCTTCTTTCCCCCTCCCCTCCCCGTTTTTGGCCACATAGAAATGTGCATGAGGCAAACTGGAAAAGCTGCAGATTTTAATATATGATCCACATCTTTACTCAGCTGCTATAACATCGATTTGGTAAGGTGTCGAAACAGAAAGCAGTAAGGCAATATTTTTTTAGGAAAAAAAAAAAAAGATCATTAAAAGAAAGGATTGATGTTTTATTTCAGACTACATATCCGCCTGACCCTGTGTCTAAAATGTAGGAAAAGAAACTAGCAAAGTCAGATGTCAAGAAAAAGGAGTATTGAAAGGTAATGCTGGGCTGGTAATCTAGAACAGCAACTATGTACATCAAATCCATGAAACTCCTGTGTGGTGGGAAGAAGCGCTGATAAAAGACAAATCTGCGATAACTGAAATATATGGCTCCACGAACTTTTGTAACACTTTTTTATTACAGATGTAACAAAATCTGTGACAAATTTATGCCAAGGGTTTGTTACACTTGGCAATGAAAGCAACTGGGTAAACGACCCTCTGGATGTGAAACTCAGAAATACAGAGTAAGAGGCTAAAAATGCAGATGCATGGCTAATTGCATGAGACACAAAAAAAAATTCAAGGACTGAGAGAAGAAAAGAGTTTTCAAGAAATGAGATGTCACTACATTCAACATATTCATAGGTAAGACTTCATAGGAATTAACTCCACTGAAAATTAAGATTTAGAGGAGTTACTGGTTCCTGTGTGTTAGAGTTACAGCAAATCAGTAAAGTGAAAGAGTTGTTACACACATAGGTGATGAAATTTCTCTTGGAAATTACACTCCTCTAAGTGAACCTTACCCGGCCATGACTTTTAAGGTTCGTTTTCTATCATTATATAATTATTCTCTTGTTTGGAGTGGGAGGGGGAGAATGACAAAAGGTGGCTCTTTCAAAACACTGATATTTTCCAAATGAGGACTTTCCAAAAGAAAAGCTTTTTGGTTAGAAGTCTTTGTCTGGCTCTAGTCCACACTGACGGCTGTCTGTCACTGTCCTGAGTGGCACATTTGTTCTCAGAAAACAAAACAACATCAGGCCAGCCAAATGCAGATGGTAAGCAGCAGACACAAGGTGGTGCTGTCAAGGTGGAAGCAATTCCTTCTTCCAATATGCTTACCCACAAAACAAAGCATCACCACTGTCCCTGGGACACCTGGCAGATACAGATCCCAACAGTTGCCAAGATAAGCAGTTTGCCTATAATTGTACCAGTTTAGTAAATGTACATACTGGGTACAGGTAGTCAGGTTTTGGCAGTGGGGCTGCAGAGGCCAGGGGCTGTCCTGGGCTCCAGCAGGTCCCAGTGGACACCCCTGCAGGTATCCCATGCTTTTGCTACAGTTTCCCATCTTTAGTTAGGCGAGGCACTTGCTCAGTGTAGAAAGCATCATGTCACGTCTATCATGCTGGACTGGGTTCTCCCACTGCGAATGAGCCACCCTTCAGGGCATGGTCTCATCTGAGATTTATTCAGAAGAATTTTACAGTAGCCCTGTAGGCAAACAAGCAATACCACAGAAAAAAATGCACTCACAGAAATTTTCCACTGTTTCTTGACCCAACGAGGATACGGTGCTCTGACTCCTCCCGAGAGATACTCCCGTGGAACCACGGCATCTTTTCATGGGCTGTGGTGGCAATCAACTTCTCCAGCTGAGGCTTCTGACTAATGATAGCTTGTTCAAGAGCATGGCCCTGGAGAGTAGTAAAAGCATGGTGGAACAGTCAGACTATCTTCTGCAATAAAAACATGGCAGGTTGACTCCCAGCCTATTGGAACTGATTCTGGGACATCCAAAATCTGCGTGTATTTGTTGCATGTGAAGAAAAGGTCTGGTTTCTGTAAAGATTTTAAACCAAAAGCTAATGTATGGCAATCTAAACATCACGAAACTGGGGTTCTTCCTGTACCTCTGAGAAAAAGAAGGAAAATTAGCCAATAAATTAAGCCCTTAATATAGCAGAATTTAACCGTATTATAATGTTATACTGTGATTTAAAATAAAGTCTTACTTTTATGCTAGTGAGACATACTTAAGTAAACAGTGTCACTGTGAGATTTCAAACGTACCTCCAAATTACATATCTTATGGCAGTGTACTGATATAATCTGAACATGCTTTTCATTGTTGCAGCATGTCTATGTCAAAGACATCAACGCAAATTTCGCCAGAGTAGACAGAACAGTCCCAATTTTAGAGTGAACTGATTCTAATTCTAATCTCATCTATAACCTACCAATTCTAAATGAGGCCCAGAATCTCATGGCAAAACCCCCTAGTTTCATTAGTTTTTAGCTTGAGTCCATCAGCCTCCCTTTAGACTGGGCTCAGACTCTGCAGAAAAAAGATTGTGAGCCTCAGCACTTGCAGAAAATAAGTTTCAGCCTTTGCCAGTTTGGGAATTGTTCCACATATTTCACAGAGCAGAATTCACAGGGTTACTTGCTAGCAGCAAAGGAGATTAAAAATCTTGTGTAGATCTGTGAGTTCATAAAGGTAACTCATGATGGCATTCCAAGGTGAGATAATATTCCTGTTGCAGTCTCCTGTACTAGCGTTGCCATGTTAAGACTGGTTTTTTCATAGTAATTCTCAGGAAAAAAATCCATCCTTCACAGGGAACATTCCTACTTGGCACATGCAGTACTGAATGTACTGCAGTTCTACACTGCAATGTAGAAACTCCCCTGTTTCAGGAAAAGTTAGTTTTGGACATAATCTAAATTAGCATCACAGAAACAAGACCAGCTAAGAGAGGAGGAGGCAAAACAAGTCATCACGTCACCGTGCCTCTCTGAATATCATTTCATAAAAATTCAGAGCTAAGAGCAATCAAAGAAACAATTTTTGTATCTTGTTCATGACATCTATTAATTTTTGGTCCAAATCTGATGAGATATGTTAGTGCAGTAGTAGATAAGATTATGCTAGCCCAAGACATCATAGAAATTCTAAGTTTTGTAAATTTCAGGGAAACTACACTTAGGGCCAAGTTACTGCATTCCTTGGGGAGAAGAAAAACAACCCACTGTTCAAACTCAAATGGCTATGATCCCATTGTGAAGAAATACTACCTAGCAACAGCAAGAGCTAGAAACAAACACCGAAATCTCTTTTTCTCCCAGCTCAAAGACCACTTCATGCCAAGATCAGTCTGGTTTTACCTGCAAATTCCAAGTTTGTTTGACATATTCTCTGATGAGGTTCTCTTTCAAATCTTCAAAGGGTCCTGTTTTGGGTTCAACGCCTGGTGGTCGGTTGAAAGGTTTCCTCAGTAGACAGATAAGGCCATCAGCTTCCTCTGAGTGATACTTAACGAGTTCAGCAGGACTCGCATGTGACTTGCCTCCTGCAATAGCGTACGAGCCACTCAGCTCCCTCTCAATTGTATAGTGATGGACCTTCCTTCCGTGGGCCAAGGATAAGGCAAAGCCCCCCAGGTAATTCCGGCTTTGGCGGAGCAAGTACAGTCCATCACTTGCTCCTCCTTGCATCAGGTACTCCTCGGCATCTTCACGTGTGATGTTGCCGAAGAAGTACGGCAAGTGGTTAGCAGGGTTTGCTGTGTTGGAAGCCATCCCTTTTCTTTTCCGAGTAGCAAACCCAATATCTGAAAATACACAGACAGAGACATGAGTATCAGTTGAAAAAAAGCGGATAAACCAGTAAATGGTGGTTTTCACCTGTGGTATATTAACAGAATCACAGAATTATTTAGCCTGGAAATGACCTCCAAGATCAGGGATTCCAAGCTGTGGCTGATCACCACCTTGTCAACTAGACCATGGCACTGAGTGCTCTGTCCAGTTGTTTCCTGAATGCCTCTAGGGATGGTGACTCCATCACCATCCTGGGTAGGCCTTTCCAATCTTTAACAACTCTTTCTGTGAATAAATTCTTCCTGATGTCCAGCCTGAACCTCTACTGGTGCAGCTTGAGGCTGTATTGGTAATGCATTTGTTGGTGATACATAGGGCTGGTAATTAAAAAAAATTATTCTGTAATGAAGATCACACTTGTATTTTAATCTTGTTAGAAGCTGCGTTTTTAAATCTTAATAGAAAGTTTTTCCCTGTTATACAGTAATAAAAAGATTTTCTATAACCACCCAATTTTCTTTTAACTCTTTCCCTGTCTGCTGTGTTGCTTAACTATACGGAGGTCCTGACATCTTCATTTGTCTGAGTGTCTCTGTCCATTCTTTTTATTGGCCTCCTTCAATAAGAGGAAATAACTAGGTAAGAAAGACTAACTGAGAATGGTTTTATGACATATAATTTTGCCTGTAAGAGAAGCGTATGCAAGCATGTGGGTTGAGTATGGACAAAAGCCATATCTAAGCATGAAATTAAAAAGTTAACATTTCTCTCCACAGAGATTTATCAGTTGTTAGTTTTTTTAATAGTAAAAAAAAAAAAGTGACAGTCTTTTTGAATAGTTTCAATTTCAAACAGTTCATATTGAAATAATATGAAAGCGTACTACCAACAAAAACATAGATGAGAATCAAATGCAGCATCTCTGAAGAATACTAGTGATCATAACAAAAATATCCTCAGTTCTTTTATTCATAACAATAAAAACAATCTCTAATATGTTTTTAATATATCTTACAAATAGGGGATTATATTATTATATGTTATGATATGCTCTTTTTTTGTCAGATGAAGTGTCCCATAACCACAATTAACTATGTAATCGCAAGTTCACCAGTCAAGTCATTAATAATTTCCAAACATTATGGGTTATTCATATACTTTCCACTCCAAATGCTTCCCCAGTCCAACCACTGCTTAATCAGGACTGGTCAAACCATTACATCTGCAGTTTATGGTGCATAAAAAGGAAGGCATGCCATTTAGGAACAGCCAAACACCTTTCTGTCTAAAAAGAAAAGAAAAATTCCACAAACTATTACTGTCTGCACATCTCTAAAATCCCTCAAAATTACTTTCAAATAACACATTAAATGCTGAATAAAACTAGTACTATGTGCTTATGTTTACACTGTCTGTGTTAGATAACATTTCTCCTCAGGAAATAGCTCACAACCTCATTGCCAGCATTTTTATTTCCTTGTCTTTTAAGTTCATTTGTGACAACTTAATATCAAAATATTCTCAAGTATACAAAATAGGTGAGAGCTTCTGTTATGTGTAGTGTATTACGTGGATTTTAGGCTAATTAAACAATACTGCAAGTATATAAAAGGAAAATAACTTGTTTCTTTGTATCAGTGGACATCTTTTATTCTTGTTTTCCAAAATGTATACTAGGTAGTATGCATATATGCCTAATATGAAACCCATGAACATCAATATACTAAATACAACGTACTAAATGCAGTATGTGTTACCTCTGTTTTGTTCAGGTTACTGCAGCTCTCTTTTCCCACCTTCTTTCACCTTGGCTAGAAGTGGACAAAAGGATCAGAAGTTCAGATTCTGCTTCTATTGCTGTGAAAGACATAGGAGTAAAAATAATTAGCACTTCACAATAAAATGGAAAGCATGATTTTAAAGAAGCCATGCAGCAGTCTGTGGAGTCAGCATTAAACAGTTCAGGTTGTATGTGAATGGGGTCAGTAGCCCATTTGGCTTGCAGCTGGCCAAACTGTGCAACGGTCTTCTCCCTCCTTCCCAAAGAAGGCAGACATCAAAGTTGCAGAGCTAATGCAACCCTACAAAACAGAGCTTCGTGTAGCATTTTTTTTATTACTCTTGTGGTCTGCAACCAAAAGTTACCGGTTTGAGTTCATATATTGATCTGCTGACATAACTTTTTTTTTCTATTCATTGCAAAAGAAAGTTGTAATTGAATAGATGCAAGGGAGTCCTCAGTAAGTCACCGCCAAAAATTGATTCTGCATAAAATACTATGCAAAATGACTATTTTGACTGTACCAGACAAAGCTGTCCTTAGATGGAATGGATCCATTCATTAGCATAATGCAGGGCCAGATGATTCCAATCAATAACAGAAAGTCCAGCTGGAGGCCAGTTAGTAGAGCTGAAACCCAGGATCAGGACTGAGGTCAATATTATTTAAGATTTTCATGAGGGCGGTGGACAAAGGGAAGAGTGCAGCCTCAGCAGGTTCACGGATAGTACAGGACAGGGAGTAGTGCCTGAAACATCACAGGCACAGAGTTGTGTTGCCATTCAAAGGGACATGGAAAGGGTGAAAAATTGAGATGAAAGGAAATTAATAAAATTCAACAAGGGGAAACATCCTGTGGAGTAGACTTTGCCCCTTTTGGAGCATCTGCTTCCCTGATGGGGCAGTGCCTGGCACTCTTGTAACATCACCTGTGACAGTCTGTGATCTTGATGTTTTTCAGCAGTGCCTGTTCCCCCACAGTTTGTCCAGGACTGCTGTGGACACACACACAAGACACGCAGGCTCCTGCAGGATGTTCAGCTTGTTCTATCAGCTTTGGCAAAGGGGACAGCAGCAGCTCAGGGCTCTGTGCAATTGCAGCCCCTTCCAGTGCCTCTCCTCCCTCTGCCCAGCTGCACAGTGCCATGGGTTCCATAGGAGACTGTCCTGGGACTGTGAATGCAAGAGTGCCAGGCACACTGGTAGCAGGGAAGATTCTCAGCAAGTTCTTCTTTCTTCCCTGACCACATCTTCCAGGTACCCTGTGCTAGCCTGGTAGTGTCTGGGGGATGGTGTGGGGGCTTGGAACTTTGGAGGGAGCAGCTCATCTCCCAGGGCCCTCTGGCAGCTTGCCAGAGCCTGCCACATGCAACTCACACACCTCAGCCTGAGCACTGGAGAGGTGTGGAGGAGATTAAGGCTTTCCTCTTGCTCTCCATCCCTCCCATCTCTCCCTGCGCTCCAAGGGGATGCAGAGAGAGGGGCACAGCCTGGTCCAGCCCCACATCTCTCTGCCCTGCCCCAGGGCTGTGGCTGCTTCCTAGCCTTCAAGAGGCTCTTCTTTTGCCTCTCTTCTCCCAAAGCCTTCTGATGCTTCCCAGACTTTTCACTCTTGCACAAGGCAAGCTGCGTCACTTTACATGTCTCTCTTGGCAGGACATGGCATCGGGCACTGAGGAAGCCATGGGGGAGAACAACTCTGCTGCAAGGGACAGTAGCATGGGCCAGGCACCCCAGGCAAGGTTGGTGTCAGTCTCTTGCCATGTGTTATATGATGAGAGGAAATGGCCTCAGGCAGTACTGGGGAGGTTTAGAGTGGATACCAGAAAAAATTTTTTGCTGAAGAGGCTATCAAGCGTTGGAACAGGCTGCCCAAGGAAGTGGCTAAGTCACCATCCTGAAGGTATTTAAAAGACCCACAGACATGGTGCTTAGGAATACAGTCTCATATTGGATTTGGCAATGTTAGGTTTACAGTTGGACTTAATGATCTTAAGACCTTTTACAACCTAGATGCTTCTGTGACTCTTTGATTCTATTACTCTGAAAGTCATTACAAGTACGGAGATTTTGAATGCTGTAGTTCCTGTTTCCTTCATTCCTGCTTGCTTGTTTCCCACTGACAAACTTATGTTACTATGCCATTTTTTTTACTCCACTCTGCACCACACCTACTGCTGGTTAGGAAATGAACATACTTCACCCCACATCTGGCAAACTGGCCCTTGAAGGCAGGCTTCAAGTATTCAGTATCACTTTCAGGGAGGGTGGAAGAGAAGAGATTTGCTGCTAGGTTTTTAGGAATGAAAGAACTTGGGTGGATGAACAATTGACACTAGCTCTTCAACACCACTGCACAATGTACCTAGAAAAAATGACAAAATAATCCCAGTGTGTCTCATCCCAAGAGTGGTATTGCACTGGCATACCTGTTCAAAGCACCTTAGTAACACTGTAGTGAACAAATGTCAAAATGAAAAATACCATCACACTCTTTATCTGTAGAAATTTATTTTCATGGAAGTATTTAATGAAAGTTCCTTTTTGCCATACCTTTATTTTCAGAATTAAAAAAATGTTAGAACTTTCATATCTTAAAAAGATAAAGAACTTTAGACTGAAAATAAGATCTACCAAAATAAAAGTGTGTTTGTTGATGGGGAACAGAGGGAGTGGGCAGGGCTAGAGGAGGTAAACTCACCTTCCCTGGCTACAAAAATCCTGATGGCTACTGAAAGTTAAATTCACTCTGACTTTGATGTGTTTCAGATCAGGCTACTCCTCAGGGTATTTTTTAATCTCATATTAATCTCAGCATTTACTATACTCTCTTCAAGATGATTTGTTCAGACACAAATTCCTAAAACAGAGAGGAAAAAAAAATCCGCTGGTTGCAATTTAGACGAAATGCCAGTAATGGCATTGATGAAGGACGCCCTTTTAAATCTTCAGAATGTAAAATAGAGAAGTTCAACGCTCAAATAAATAAGAAGGCCTGCTATAAAAAGTTTCAAAAATATAGAGAATGTTTCTCAGTTATGGAAAGAACCACAGCAGGATTCTTACGGTATCATAGATTTCACAAGTGATTTATTCATTACTGTTTCAGACAACAAAGGCCTGATTTACTTTTGCAAAACAGGTTAATGTTGATAGATTTCAGGCAAGGTGTGAAGAATATTCAGTGTTCAGCAATGGTAGGAAATGTTTGGACTGATGTAGTGTTCCCTGGGATGCAAGGACCAAATAAACACACAAAACTTGAGATAATGGTTAAAAATTTCTTATCAATTTTGAAAGAATGCGTGAATTTGAGATGGATGCTCTCTTTGGTTGGACTTTCAAAATCTTGCCTTCCTTTCAGGAGTACAATACCCTTCTAGGGCCAGTAACACAGCAGAAGAAAACATATTTGGATTCTCAGTTTTCTCCCCTTCTAAATTCCTCCAGGTGACAAATAGTGATGAGTTTTTCAAGTGAGCAGAGTTACAAATGTGTGACTATAAAATGGAGATTAGGAGCCTGAAGGGCTGAATGTAGAGCTTTACCCTTAAGGGGGCTGAAGGAAGTGCAGGGCAGTTACCCAGGAGATGTGTTTGAGCATAAAAACAAAAGAGTGTCTTCAGTTCTCCCTTTGGCCGTTAAATTTGATTTTTAAGGAAGCTACAAATTCATGCAAATATCAAGTTTATCCTACATGAAAGAAAATGTATTATGCAAATACACAGGAAAATTAGGTACCCGCTTCCTCTCAGGTAGCTTCCTCATCAATGTTGAAATGGTGGGTACTCCAGACATAGCACAAGAGTTTAGTATCTCACACATTCCATGCATAAAGGGAAGCAGAACATTCTCTCAAAGCAGAAGAGCAAAACTCAGGAAAACCTACTTGGAAAGTGTAAGGAAAAAACTGCTACCCTGAGCTTACTTCTATTTCATCTTTTATATTTAGATGAGGATAAAGAGAGAATAACTGTTTTGTTGAAAGGTTTGCATGGCAAAGAGTATAATATTATTTACCTATTGATCTCCACTTTAATATATCTATAAGAAAGTTATAAATAGGAGTATGAATCTTTCTAAAAAAGACCAAACAGAAATCCGGAAGGAGACTTAGGGACTTCTGATGGATCAGTTTACTCATCCATAAGCAAAATGACTGAAGCGTGACAGAAGGTCAAAAGCCATGCACTGGTGAAACAGTGTTACAAACAACTTCCTCATTTGAACAGAGCTATTTTTTATGTTTCCTTGTTTTTCAAAGTAGTTTTCTGTGAGGAATTATGAAGGTAAAGTTTAGAGCAAGTATCTTTTGCATGCATAAGGATGCATAAGGCTCACTAGACAGAGCAGAATGATGAAAATATGTGTCCTGAAACAATCTCTTCTAGGACAGGGTGATATTTTAAGCACCAACATAACTTCAACAGTTCCCTAGTCACACACAGAAAAACATCAGTAATAATAGAACATTGCAAATATGCATTTTTTCTAAAGTCCTTATTTAAATGGGATTCCTGGAATCAAGATGTATGCCTCTGAGAAAAACACTACAAGTGTTTGTTCTAAGATTCTTCTCTACATTTTCAACTTATGTAACACACTTGAAAGCTGAAAGGAATTCAGCATGCATGGAATTAGAAATAAACATTGAATGGTGACTTCATGCACTATATTAAATATTTAGGATTTAAGTAGAATCTTAATGGTACACTCAAAACTAATGTAAACTCTGACATAAAGTATTAAAAATCCACTGCTATTGCCTCACTGTTAAAGAGTTTACATTTTTATAGTATTTTAACAAATAAAATGGATTTAAATTATTGTTCTATTCTCATTTTTTCACCTTTAAAATCACTTTCCACTGTGTATAGGCAGTTGAATTGTGGCCTTAATTTGATTCATCAGATTACTTTTAAATGTCTTCTTTACCTTTCTGCATAAACATGAAGATTTAATCTCTATCCAGATCTTAGGAGAGGACTTTCTATGAGAGAATTACGCAGGAATAAAGGAAGAATACAGTAAATAGCAATTATGGAAGGAAATGAAGCAGAATATAATTTTCTCAAGT